ATATGTATAAAATATATAATAATAAAGTAAAACAATTATAAAATAGTGACTAATGGCGGGGAGTAAATTTGTCAGTTAGATCGAAGAATGTCATTGCATCAACGTAAACGTATTACTGAAGAGAATTTCGGGAAAAAACAGATTTGATGCCTCTTCATGTTTGTTGCCCGAAGATTCTCAGCATATTTTTTACTTGGTCTGCCATAGCTCCCTATGGGCGGAAACGTTGAGCTTAGCTTCTTTCTACGCCCTCTCAGGGGATTAAATAAATCAGACTGGCGTGTTATTTTCCGTATTGATGGAGCGAATCGAGAGGTAGTCACTAACGGGTGTGGGATATTCACGCGGCTTGGTTACTTTCATGAAAGCCCCGTTAAGCTGCCACTGAGTTCCGTACATCTACAGGTGAACTTTTTACCAGTCGACTCTAATTTTAGCTGAAAACAGTAGTCTGCGATCAATCTGTGGTCGCCCGATTAGATCCACCCACACGCGTGTATTTCACGGTATCCAAGGCTCATTTTACAATGCAACTGAAATCTCGTTAATTATGTGTGGCTTCATTTCTTGACACGGCTGTTCACGTCAACACACCATTTTTGATGGAAATTAGCCCCTTTCTCTGACTACTACTACTACGAAACTAACCGAGTTACATTTGCACAGCATGCAACGCAAATATGTGTGAAAAAGACTGACTTTCGTTAGAATACACGTCACCGAAGAAATTGATGTGCAGTGACGCAGCTGATCACGCCACGCACTTCATGATCGACCGATAGAAAGGTTCACGGTTCGAAGTCAGTCGAATTTCTAACATTCCGAAGTTAGAACACGTCATACCAAAATCGCTGACACCTTAATTCGCATGAGCTGCGTGCATAATTACCGTGCAGGTCAGTCATAGTTAACAGAGAGAATTCAACAACCAGACAGAACCAACACACTGAAAAAGCTATAGCCACATGATTTGATCGCAGAATGGAATTAAATTTTGGAAATTAAAGCCAAAGTGTCCAGCAAGCACCCGGGTACCATGTGTTCACCTGAGTATGGATAGGCGATAAAAACAACGGTGTAATTGTGGATACAAGAAATGCGTGACCGAGATATTCATCTATCTAGTTCAAAACTTCACAGATTCGTTGATGTAGAAAGCCAACAGAGAGGAAAAACAATTGCGCCACTTGGGGTTCATATCAGTGGATGGGCGGCAAAGTGGATACATCTGATGCACATGGTGGGAAGCACGAAAAACCCCCATCTAGCGTCTAACGTATTCTACTCATTCTACCATCCTACCTCGACTGCTGTTCGGATTAAACGGGTTTCTTGAGAAAATGTGTCCAGTCCAGTCACATCCTCCGATGAAGCAACGAATCCATTAGCAAAAACTTGTCCTTCAGCTCTCTTTCACTGCATTGCATTATCGCATCCGGTCGGATGCAAGGTTTCTACAGTGTGTAAGTGTGCTCTGCTCTCAGCTGTACAACGTTTTTGAAGAAACAGCACTCGAGTGTCAGATGTATTGCAATTGTTCTAACAAACGAAAGTGACTAACACTGCGTTCATTGTTATCGATTTTCAAGGGTACACTGTTCAGAGCAAGTGCCTCATAGTGGTGTATATACATATTCGGATGTAACCATGTGGAAAATAGCAAGCTCGTTCCCGGAAAACTGGAGACCTTCGGAATAATGCAACACTCGTGGTACATCTGCAAACCATGGATGGTAAATTCCAGCACCAGACGTCACACACGCCAAAATCTATACTTTAAATCCGGAGCGTACTGTATAAGCAACAGTGATTTAGCCCCAATTTTGTAAAACTCCAGAGCATAAGGCTCACTTCAACATCAACCATAGTGAGATGACTTGAATAGATCATTTAAATGTACACAGGTTCACTGCAGACTTCACTTTACTGAGCCATATAAACTGTTCGTTAAATTCAACATGACTGTTGGTGAAGTATATACTCTGCATTACGCAGGCATACTTTCCCAATATCATCGCGTGGAAAAGAGGTTAACTGCCCTTTATTTTGGGTGCTTTTTTCGATGGGTCAGAGACCAAATGATGAATGATGGAAAAGCCCGCGTCGACATTCCAAATCACATCTCTTTGGTTATATCTCTTTGAGGAGTTTGCTATCCTTAGAAAGAATAACAGAAACATTATTATGTTCTTCTAATCCGACAGGCGTGTGGAGTCTCGTCACTTTAACCCACAGTTTATTGTTTTCTCAACGTCCTCTCTATCCACCTGGATAAACATACCGCTCAAAAGGATAACAGAGCACTGTGGTGCACGATACCTGGCCCGGACCACCGATACAGTAAAAATAGCACCACTGCGCATAGCATGCTCTGACTAACTGAAAGGAACTCGGGCACTGGTTAGGAGTAATTTCAGAGGACGACAAGCTGGGAGAAAAAGGATAAATAAATACAACCACTGTTTCGAATATCACGTGCTTTCTGTTACAGATTTAATTCACTCTAAGACCCACAAAGTATGAACATTGTTCTTCTCGTGAATATCCGTCAGGTTATCCAATATCGCAGAGAAGTCTTTTCTTGATCCTTAGATAACTGTTACCCAATAAGGATCACGTACATGGAAATCCATATGCATACTTCGTGTAATGAATTCCCCTCAAGTTTACACCTTTGCTTCATCTCGTTCTTCAAAACACAGCAAACCATCTCCATGAAGACGGCTGACGGTAGCAGTTACAGACGTCGCCACAATGTGATATAAGCCGCAGAGGGCTTTAAAACCCTCTCTCCTTCCGTGACTGTATATTGGTGTAACTTTAACAGTCGCTTCAAGCTATGTATTTAGAAGACAGTTATGTGGTTGGCGCACGCGTGACACCTTCGTCTTGGGTGATATGTCGAAAAATGTATAGATTTGATCCAGCAGGGTTGTAAATGGAGATAAACTGGATCAACTGAAACTTATTTCCACAGAATAGTGACACCATATTTAGACGATCAATGCAAGTGAAACGGTAAACAAACATGATGCGGCCTCGAAACATCACAAACGAGTGATTCAACTGGGTTCCAGGTGAGTGTCTCAAAAAACCAAATTAGTTTGCAAACGGGTGTATTTCGCTAAGTTCGTGCAATTTGGTTTTAAGTAGGACATAAGGTTGACGGAAACACGGGGACTGCGCCTAACTGACGAACCCCAAGTGGAGCATAACCGGTCGTGGGTTGTGGATGAATTTTCAGGAACCTTATGAAGTAGTACATTACAAACATACATGTATCGCGATATCTTGAATATCGCAGCGACTGAAACATGAGGCGGGTCCCCGGTGAGTCTCTCGAAAAACCAAATGAGTTTGCATATGAGTGTATTCCGCTAATCATGCGGTCTCATTTACCCAGGTAAGCTGAAGATGAAAATATTTATTCCTCTCCTGTAGAAAAAACTTGAATGATAACCCAAACATTAAAAGGGGGTTATAATGAACGTGTTGGAGCTTAGACGAGCTTGAATGTGTTCGTTTAAAAGTTTCTTTAGGCTAAATTGAGATACTTCTTTCTTTATACGGGGATAAACAAACACACAAATTGTGAATACTTCGTAGTGCTTTGACATATCGGTTGGCTGGTGTGCCATTAAAAACGGCGGATTCACCTTAAGTGGCGTAATGTGAATGCGACCTTGTACATAGTTGAGATATCTGAACCCAAAAGCCTGGACTCAGTAAACATCGCACCTGCTTGCACAATTTGTTTTGTCAGCGCATGTGCTTGGACAACAGTGTTAAACGTCAGTTCATCTGGACTACAGTCTGCACAGCCGTATTGATTGCCTGCTCATATTAGTACATGTGCGACTTGCTAGTACGCAGGCTGCTCACCAGTGGGCTTCTGAATGACGACTCTTATAGCTGTCAATCGATTCTATTGAAGAGAACAGTACCTATGCTAGCTGGAAAGGTAGACTCTGAGAAGACAACATCAAAACTGTGTGAATTGAACCGATCCATCCTTTGTGCATACAGATGTTATGGAGTTACGTTATACTGAAAT